ATCTGTATATTTTACGTACAGCTCTATTTATTTTTTTATTTGAGAAAATAAAACTGATTTTAATATATGACAGTTTTGATAATTTAACGTACATCGCGTTTTAATTATCCCGTTATCCTGTGTTATAATTATAAAATTTATATTAACGTTGTTAATATTAACCATTTTTAACGGATTAATCATTCTTATACAAATAAAATAAATTAAAAGAACATTTTTAATAACAGTACGGAATTAAATTAATGTCGAGAATAGGATTCATTTTAAGGTATTTTTATTATGCGGTGTACTATATATCTGCCATTAATTGATGTTACGGTAAATCTGGTATATCAGGACATTAATTTATTCCATACTGTTATTGAAAGTGTTTTTTAATTTGTTTCATTTGTCTAATAATTTATCCGTTAAAAACGATTAAAAACGATATTAATATTAATAACGTTAATATAAATTTTATAGGGGTAATTAAAACGCGATGTATGTTAAATTATCAAAATTGTCACACAAAATGTGTCACGAACGAATGACATCTGTCATGTATAAAGTATAGATCAATATCAATGTGTATGTATTATTATTATTACTAAATAATTATTTAATATAGTAAAAATGTAATATAATATATATTGTATATATAACTTGATATTTGTAGATATTGTAGATATATTTGCCATAGAGAGATGTCATTCGTCTTTAAATACTTTAAATATATTACATTTTGGTATTAAAATTTTATCTGCAAATGATCTCAGAAATCTACCATTAACAGATATCACAAGATCTGGAATACTTTTGTAGTCTCCAATATATACACGAATTTATTTTTAAAAAATGAGATTATACATATGCTTGTGTATGTGAGATAATTACAAACTTCTCAATACATTATCTAATCTTATCTCAATTTTACAACACATAATCTACTAATACATAATCTTTCTCTCACAAAAATAGATTTTAAAATAAATTCTTTAATTATAAAAATGTTGCAAAATGCACATGAATGAAAGCAAACTGTGATGAGAACATATCACGCCAACTTATAGTAAACTTCAATATAGTATATGTAGAGAAATGTAATTTTAATTGTATCTTATTATAATTTTTATATACTATAATAATAATATTAGATTATTATACTTTTCCTACACAAGATATAACAGATGCAATAATACTGCAACAACTTTATTAAAGAACTTCAATGCGCTTAATTTTTGCGAAAAAAAATGTATTTTATTTAGATGCATTAATGTGCATTGATGTACATTAAAGTTTACAAATTGATATAAAAACATATATAAGCAATTGAAAAATTGTCAAATAAGAAACATAATTTATCATATTATTTGGAAAAATATGTTAAGTATTCCATCGATTACAAAGCGCTCGTTGCTGCAGCTTACATTTTTATATATAGGTAAAAGTTTGTATAGGATAAGTTTTCATCTACATCAATGCGCATTAATAATGCCGTTAATCTAATTTGCTATCAGATAAGAAAGAGAAAGAGAATATAAAGCTACGATTATACGAATATGAAAAATATAAGACACGTGGCAAATTGATGTAAAAATAGAAAAGTTGTGATAGATTTAAATTTTATTAACATAATATATTCTGAAGCAATACAAAATTTTATATACTTATCGAGGTGTGCAAGAAAAAAAAATCATAAAAAGATTTTAGTTATATATATTTTCTTGCTGAGACATTTAATATGTGTGTATGTTTATATATACTATATGTATATACTATATATATACACACAAAAGTATAAAGACAACGCATAACTTATGCAGACATTTAAAATTGAGATACAAGAGTATTATAATATAATATTCCGATAAAAAGAATGTATCTATAACATAAGCAACTGTAAATACAGAATTTTTAAATCATATAAATATATAAAACGTTATACATCTTCATCGTCTCTTAACATTATTTTCATCACAAAATTTATCACGTATAATTTCAAACATATGCAAGTATCGAAAGACAACAATGCGAGATAATTATCTGGATGCGAAAGTTTAACAGTAGCTAAAAAAGGTGAAAACGGCTATACTTTCCAACCATTATGCGGAGAGAGATTACAGGAGAAACATCCGAACATCCGAAATTTACCTGGTCGTCAGGATCAATACAATGCGTAGCATTTTGCGGGAATTTCACGGTGATTTGAGCGGTAATCGTGGGACAAAGCAGGCCCGCGCCGAACTCCGACGGCGCTTGTCAGTACGTTTCGAGACTTATTTTTTACCCTGGTATAGACCAACACGTAATCACCCAGTCAGTCAAATAGAGTCGCCGCTCGATGGGATCTGTGAAGTCTACGTCGACGCCTTTGTCAACAGCCGTCACGCTCCTGTCGGAGATGCAAGCGCTGTTATTTCTAACGATGATCCTAGATCTGATTCTTCCCAAGATTTGGCTTTGTTGCGTCGTCTCGTATCGCCAAACAAACCGCGGTCCCTTCATATTTTAATTCGATTCGCTCTTTATGAACAAAAATGTTAAGGAAACGAGATCTAGAAAAGAGATCTAAGGCGGTACATCATGTTCTGACATAACTTAAATTCACATCGCTCTTTTTTATTATATAAATTATATAAAAAAATTATTCGAGAATGTAACAAAGTCGGATTACAATTTGTTTGCACTCGTGTTACGACGCGCTTGAGAAGTGCGAAGGAATATTCTCACGAAGTTGCGAGATGCGGGACATGTGGAATGTATTGATGCTTGCTTTAACCGTGCTTGAGTGACTCTCGTTACTCACATGAGCGAGCTCTCGAATGTTGCCACTTACCGACGCTAATATTTTCTCGTCCCTAAATGTTTACGTCGACACACCATGTCCATAATTCCATTCTCTCAAATCATGTAATGTTTTTCAGTCATTTGAAAATGTTTTTAAGTCATTTGAAAATATTTATAACTTGCAAAAGCATGAAATCTACTTGCAATTGTAATGTATATAATTCTACTTATTTATAATGTATATAATTTTGTTAGAATTGTTCAATTTTTTTTATTCGTTATTTCTAACGTGATGTATTTTCTTTTATCTAATGTCGCTCTGTAGAACAATAACACGCAGAATGAAAATTTTTAATATATGCAGCGTCAAAAAATGATTTTTCTTCTAAAAGATCTTGTTTGTAAAAAGTATAACAAATTCTGCAAGTTGTAACACGAATAAATATCAGGTCATTTTACCAATAGAACTGTTTACCTGAGTAATTTGTCGCCGTACAATACCGAAATCTGAAATGCTTTCTTTGAAGATTCCGACACACTCGGAACGCAGCCAGGCTACTATTCAATTTAGAGTTGCGGCGTTTCCATTCGAACAATCGGCACGCCTGACAAATTTCTAATTTTTTGCCTATATTTTAAATGCTTCTTGATAAACTAAATGAGAAAGGCATGTGTAACTAAAATTTTTAAAATTGATTTCTTTAGAATGGTATAAAATTGTGAAGAGCAAACGTTATTAATTAAAATTTTGAAACAATATTTTATATATATTTCTCTTAATTAATAATTTTTCTTAAAAATAAATAACGTGATTAATTGCTAAACTTAATTAATTTTAATTTAATATTTTATCGAAATGCGAGGTCGCCGCAGTTACACAAATTGCCAAGCACTTCGAGAACGACGAGGGGTGCGTGAACGCTCAAGAGAAACGGAGAGAAGCGATATCACGGCGCCCAATTAACATCTCGATTTAATAAAACTCTCAAGCCTGCCGTATGTTACCATTTCCCGCACAAAGTGTCTGCCGGCAAAAGAGAAAGGGAGAACCCGCTCGCTCTCTCCTTGGGCCTCTGAAGGGGTGCCTGCTCTCGTAGTCGAGGAGGCCAACGCTCTTCAGTAAGTAACACTGTAACGTTTCCGGACGAATGAATAATAATCCCGGAACTTCTCAACGATGACGAGCCACTCCGACGGCAACGACTGTAACAATGATGGCAACAGAACTGCGGCATTGTAACGTCACAAGACTATATAGCCCGGTGCTAAGGAATTTCTCTGGTTAAAATAAAAGCTGCTACAGACACATAGATGTGGACACGACGTAAATAATAAGCGTTTTCTAATATATCTAATAAAATCACACCTCGATCTAGCGTTTATATTTTTATATAAATCTTTGAAATGTTGATTCTCACATAAATTTCATTATGTTTTTAAAAATCAGAGGATTAACTTTAAATTAAAATCTGTGAATCTTAATGACTTTTACACAATTTTAGAAGAATTATTGGCGCATTCCATTAGCGATAATGCATGGTTAGTGCATGATTGCATGTGCATGCGCAAGTGGTTCCCACCGATGGAACATCAGACAGCACCTTGCCATGCCGCGACGAAAACACGTCGCACAAACCGAGACCGCGCGGCTCATTCCGGCGAACAATATCGGAAACA